AGGCCCACGAGCATTTCATGAAATTCTCGTCAACTTCTTCACATTCAAAGTTTATATCTCCTCCAATTCTTTCCATGTAAGGTTGTTCGAGCTCATCAGCTCATTCACCCATTAATACAACATGGTTTCTCTTGAACTTCTTCGATTTTCCAGTTTATTCCACCTCAATTTCTTGCAGTGTACATCAACTCGAATCAGCTCTACAGCACAAAAATTATGACAGCCATTTTCTCGACATGCACGCCCACATAAACGAGGCAGTTGCCTAATACTTTTTATAGGCCACGCATTACGATAAGAAACTCTTTCGTATAGAGATTCGTATAATATTAAAATGGGGTAAAGCACCCAATTCCAGCGCCAATGAGCGCAGAGTAAAGAAAAAAAAAAAAAAACAAAAATGAAGCCAAACCAAAACGGAAGCTGTCGAACTTTCAGCTGGGACTGAGTGGAACTGTGACTGAGTCTGGGGCGGATGAGGAGTAGGAGGAGTTGGAGGCAGCTGTCGGACGTATTTTTGGGTTAAAATTTATGCGCAACGCATGCAGATGAGGGTCGGTCGTTATATGGGGAAGATGTGCGGCATAGTTTCCAGTTTCTTTCTGTGTGAATGTCGGAAGGAAGTATGAGATATTTCCGCTTGAACTTAAAGTTGATTTGTGCTTTTTTCCACGTCAGCATTAAGCATTAAGAGTTATAGAATAGGGTTCAATCAACATATAATCTAATGCACAGCTGTTGTTACCAGACCGAACCCTTAACTTTAATGACAGCGCGTCAACAAAGCCATTAGAAGGCGGCTAGAGCGTAGAACCCTTGCCCATATCCCACACCCGATTAGACAAATTTCTACACCTTAATTGCTTTGAAAACAATCAAAAATATGGCACACACACACTGGCCGCTCATATGCTGGTCTCTCACGGTTCACGCCAGGGTTGGAGGGCAGTTCAAGTGGTCTGGGGTCAGTCTAACCCTTAAGCGTGGGGGCGCCAACTGTTCGTGCTTGTAATTTGAATTTAATAGGAATATTATGTGTTTGTTTTGTCCAGCTAACCCAACGGAAGTCCACAATTTGCCCACGGACAAGGGTTAAATTGTCGACAAACAACAAAATGAACAACTATCTTTCTTATTGTTTCATAGCATGTGATCTGTTGTTTGAATAGAACATATGAGTAGGGTTCACCGGTTTCGCATTTCCTCAGCCAGGCAATTAAAGGGTTAGCTCTGAGTGTGGGTGTGTATAATGGCCTTAGTGAGTGATGAGATCTGGCTGGATATAGGGGCTGAGAGGGGCTGAGAGAATGTTCACTGGGCAGTTACTAATTGGAAATTATAGGCCTGCTATTACAGCAATAATATTGATGCAAGCCGGTTGGAATCTCTTCTGTTGAAGCACGGAGAAGACAACCGCCCTAGCCCAAAAGAGAGAATCGATCAAACATATGGTTTTCTTATGAATATGAAACTTAGCATGATGAAAATAGAAAACAACGGTTCAACTCTTTGAACGGAACAGGCCACAGCTTTTTTAATTTGACCGCTCTGAAAAGTGTTTCCTCAAATAGAAACAAGCGTTTCTCATTGGTTTTCTTATTAACAACATTTTGTTTGCACTTATTTTAACAACACTTTTTGGGCCTTAGTTTAGAATCATGAATGAAGAAAACAATGGTTCGAATCCTTCAACTGAAACAAACACAATTTTAGATTATAGTTTTTTGTATTGGCAGCTCTGTAAAGTATTTTTATATACCTCGAAAACTTCATCGGGTTGCATGTCGTGCCGCAATTTTTGGCCTTCATTTCGATTTGCCTCCATTTGTGCCGTGGGGTTTGTCCAAATCGTGGAGTCATAAGTCAATAGCGAACCCTTTCCGCCTGTCAAATGGCTGCCAGACAGACAGACAGCCGGACGGATAGACGGATGGATGGTCGGAGTGGCAATCAAAAACATGGCGTTGCAAGCAATTTAAATAGAATGCCGCATCAAACACGCCACCTGGCGGCCGATATGAAATTTTGATTAATAAAACGACGCCGACAACGACTGAGACGACCCGTTAAATGCCTTCGCGTGACAAACGCAAACTGTCAGCGCCAACGCCAACGCCAACCCCAACCGCCCCCCTGGCCCAGTTGGATGTGAACGGAACCAATACATTTGTGAGCGTAACATGCCATAAATCAAGCGATACGTTAACTTGATGATTTCGCGTTATAAACAGGCAACTTTTTATGCCCGGCCCACTTGGCCTGCCCAGAAAAAAAAAACTAAAAGAAAAACAGTAGAAACTGCACGTCGAAGATTAAATACCCTCGAAGGCCTACAACAGGCCTACAATCCTATTTAAGAATAAAAGAACTTAATTAATCTTCACTTTGAAGCTGTAAGTCTAGCTTTCATTGAAAATGAAAGAGGTATAAGAGTCGGATATAGATGCTGATTAAAAGTATATATACTCACTCTACGGGCTCAGAATTGATTTCCTTCAAAGTGAGGTTAGGTTAAGAAATCCGATTCCATCTAAGATGCAATTAGCGAGTACATTTTTACAAATTGTTTTTCATTTGATATTAATACAAATTTTTTAAGGGTTATATTGAAAATGTGAATATAGATTATGCTAAATGAATAATAATTTAAAGGTTATGTTGAATAAATAATTCTTCTTTTATGACAGAATTCAGATACCCTCAAAAAGGGCATTAAAAACACGAGGCCAAAGCCAAATTTCTTGTTTATATTTGGGATGTACGCTTAATAGTGTCCACAAATACGCACACACACACTCACACACACACAGACAATCGAGTCACATGTGTATTAACGGTTTTTCTAACTGCTTTCTTGGTCCTAATGCGGCGCACATTACAAAATACAAAACCAAAGACCAAAATGCTGGGCACTTTTTGGCCATTAATCAAACTATCTCACGGGAGCATCACACACAGCGACATCATCAACGAGTGTGTGTGTGTGTGTGTGTGTGTGTGAGTGTTTGGGGCCAATCTGTATCTTTGTATCTCTTAGCTGCAGATATTTACTTGACTTTTGATAAGCAAACGAACCCAAAAAAAATAGAAGAAGTCATGGCCATTCGTTTTTTAGCATATGCTCCCAGTAGTAAATTAAGTTGCCAAAAGAAAATGAAGAAGAAGCGGGGAAAAAACAATCCCAAACAACAGCAAGGCTGAGAAAACAGTACAAATTGAGATACTACCCGTACTCACATGTTCCGGGACTAAGGAGAGGCGGACTCTGGGTTACGACTTTTGCTGCCAGTTGACAGTTTGATTAGAATTCGACTGGTGGGGGCTGCTGGGTGCTGCAGCGGTGGGGTACAGTTGTGTTTGTGGCAACTAAAAACCAAAGTTGTTAGCATCTGGCACAAAACTCTGGGGAAAGTTGATTACAAGTAGCCAGGAGCTCTTCAAAAATTTAAAAGTGAGGTTAAGTTGAAGGTACAAACGTTTTAACGATTTGTCATAGTTTTTTTTTTTAAGTGAGGTTAAGTTGAAAAACAAGTATAAGTATAACAAGGCTAGATCTAGACCTAAGATTTCGCTAAAGATAAGTAAGATTTGGAGGTAACTGAGTTACCTTAAAATCGTATTTAATTTGATTTTAATAATGATTTCTTAAAATTCATTAAGAAAGTGTTTTAGTGAAAATAGGTTATGTTGAATGACTTTTTTGAAATTTGTGTTGAATGAATAATCATTTTAATAATGCCAGATTCGCTAAAATGTATTCATTCTAGATTTTAGTTTTTACACAATTCTCTTGATTTCTTTCTTGCAATTCTAACCTAAACCTCTTAACCCAATTGTTTTTAAGGGTTGCCTTTAAACGACATTGCAATTCATCCCACATATTGAATATGAATTCTAGTAGATGCTCTTTAACTTTTGGCACATTTCGTGCCACCTACTCCAACGCCAAGTGTCTCGAAAATTGAGCAATCGTACAGTGGGTTTGTGGCTGATGAAACTGTTGCGATAAGAGAAGGCGAACGCTAAAAAAAAAGGCAGAAGGCGCCGCGGAGGGTAAAAAAGGACATATTACGGGATGCTTGTCCGGCGTGCGGGCAAATAAAAAATCACATTAGAAACACACGTTGCCGTCAACACCCGACGAGAAGTCTCTGCCGCTGGTCGTGTAATAAATGATCTATGTAATAGACCTATGTGTGGCCGAGAGAAAAACTTTGTCCATAATATGCTTTTATCTGCGACAGGCCGACCAAGTGACCAACGTATTTCCCCCGCCCAGCCTACAGCGAGGTGTGGCAGGGTCGGTCTTTTTTTTAGGCAAATTTCGATTGTGTGCCTTAGATTAGCAGGCGTTAGGTTGAGGTGTGGGCCGTGTGTGTGTGGGCTACATTATAAGGGTGTAAATAAAAATATTAACACTAAGCCCACACGCACACCCCAATCAGAGAAACGTGCCCCAACCACGACACTCGAGACCGCAGCCATTTGCCTCTTGTCATTTGGGAGCACATGCATTAGCATCTTATTGTTGTGGATTCGATTTGCTCGGGGTTTGTTTTTTGTTTTAGCATACAGAAGCCTCGAGACTGAGGGAAGCTGTTGCCATTTAAATTGAGTAATCACATGGGGCAAAAGTTTTCGCCTCTTCTCCGTCGCTTTTTGCTGAGTGGGCGCCAGCACATATGATGCCAATGAATGATTGGGCTTGAATTGGGTTGGCCGAAGTCTTGAGTTGAGTATGGCATCTATTCGAAGCAGCTATGATCCGACTGGAATCTGCCCTGTGTCCAGCTTAGCTTCTAATCTTCTCCTACGAAATGAGTACACTCTTCTGAAACATGGCTAAACCGACTTGGCTCGTCGTCGCATTCCAGATTTTACAGATGCACATAAACCTCGCTCCCATTTTTAACCAACTTTCCGCTAATCTAGAAACAATGTTAACAGTATTTTTATACACAAAAGTACATTACATGGCAAATTCAAATTCGACGTGCGGATCAGAGTTGTCCGTGCAATTTGCACACGAATGCCATTAGGGCCATGTCGCGCACCTCTAGGGTCACCCGACTGCGATGCAGGGTCATCAGGTAGGAGTCCTGAAAGCGTTGCGTTAGAAACATCTCCGTGGCCGACTGTAGGGCCTCCAGAGCGCCAATGGTGATGCGATAGGGCGATTCGGTGTGCTGCAGCATAATCTCACGGACCACGCGCCCAAATGACAAACGCGGTATCATAAAATGCGGTGAACGCTGCAGCGTTCGCACCTCGCGCCTGAACAGTGCGGCACGCTGCAAAGGATACGGCTGTTTACGGCGTGTTGTTCGGGTAGGTGGCGGTAACTGTGGCGGCGACGGTGTCCGTGGCGGTGGCGGTGGCGATGACGGTGACGGTGGCGGTGGTTCCGTGACAGCGACGGTATCAGGTGCTGGTTCCTCGCCTGCAACTGGCGACTCCAAATTTGCCACACCCGTCTCCTCTTCGCCTTGCAATTGTTGCTTCTGCTTGCGTGTCGTCGAGCAGCGTTGTTCAATGGCCAACATACCCAGAACGTTCAAATCAAATGCCGCCGTTAAGTCTGATTCATCCAGGGATCCATTGGAGCTCTGTGCATTAGCTTGACTCATATTTATAATATTTCATATAGATTGAAAATGGCAAAAGCTAAAACGAAAACCGACAATGCAAAATGTAAACAAAGCACATTTTTGCAATTTAGTGTTGTAAATGATCGTAAATTGATTGATAAAATGAACAGCGTTCATTCGCGCGCTGCAGCATTGAGTGAATTTTCGTTGACGCAGCAATCGAGACGTTTATTGTTTTCTAATTGGAAATTACGAAATACGCGCATTATATGAGTGCAGTGCATGTGAAAATATTACAAATATATTGTTGAAGTGATAAAGAGGGCGAAATTCATGAAAGCTGCCTGAAATGTGTACATGTTTATTGTGTTTTTTTGGCAAAATAAAATCACTTCCACCTGTTATGAGGGAATTTTCTGGACGCTGCAGTAGGCGAATTTTTTTTTTGCAAATCGAAAAATATATTAAATGTGTGCAGTTCAGTTTAAAATATTTAATTCAGTGACTCTTTGATTTGTGAAAGTGCTTAATATTAATTGCTTTTTTTAAAGTTTAAAATGCATGGCAAATGAGCACATGTATGTACATACATATGTGTGCATGCATATTTGTTAATACATATGTATGTTGGGAAATTCCCACATGCTGTGAATATTTCCTTATATGCTGATGGGGAAATTTTGCCATCTATGTGCATGAATACACGCACTTGTGCATGTTCCGCAAGCTTCAGTGCGTCAACTGCAACGCTGACAGAGCAGAGACGCACGAATTGTGAAATTGATATTCTCTTTTTCCGTCCCACTCTCGCGTGCGCGAATGTGCATTAACAGAGGAGCGCGCCGGTTCAGAAATAAATTCCCAATTGACATTTTGGCGCATTTTCAAACACAACCAGCCACAAAGTAAGTAGAAACTGTTTATATTTAGAATGAGGTTATGTTCGAATAAACCCACTAAAACATAATTAACAATAATTAACAACAGCTTAAAAGTTACTCTACTATTTTATGCTTTTTTTCACATTTCACCTAAAAAGTAAACTCGTTTAAGCAAGCTTTCAGTGTTGTTGTTGTGTATATGCAGTCTGTGCATTTACCGCTAGCATCGATACCTGTCTCTGATAACTCACTTGAGACCAATAGAGCGTTAGAAATAGCTGCCTAATCCCCAGTGTAGATCACCTGGTCTTAATTCTGAACACACAAATCAAGTGCATTACTTGTCGAAATTGAATCCTTCAGGCGTACCCATTTTACTTGCGACCAGTTCCTAGCCAATCCCCTGCGGCAATCGGACAATTACGAGGCATGAGCTGGTGAAATTTGGAACGCACGAATGACTTTTCCAAAAAGGATTAAAGCCGGCCAAATTAACGGGGCCGAGCTCACATAATTGCTGTTGCTGGCTCGTCTGAGTGTTTTTTTAAGCCACCCACACAGACAGGACCCTCCGGGCTCTTGGCTTAAGTAAACAGTTTACCGGTGCAGGATCTCAGAGAGAGGTTACTTGCAAAATTAAGAGAGAGAGAAAAAAAAGAAAGAACTTAAATGCAGAGACTGCGTCTTGGGACAGCCTTTGTTTGTTCTAATTAAACGGAGCAGGCGTGGAAAATGCTGCGTCATGAGAAATGGACGACGTCTAGAGAGATCTGCGTACTTAGGGCCAGCTAGGTAGCGGCAGCTACCATGGGCATTCAGGAATTCTTCCATTTTCTCCTTTGCATAATGCGTAACGGCGGCTTTATGCAAAATATTTGCCCATTGTTCGCATGTCAGCAAGGATAAGGGCCAGGGCAGGGAATGCAGCTAAGAGAATTTCGCAATGCTGCGGAGATTCGAACCCGTGACCACCAAAGAATGCGGCATGGTCCATTGGCTTGTATATGATGTGCTACCCAATGTCCGATGTCCTGCGGCGTGTGAACGTGTCCCTCGGCCTGCTGCCCGGGGAGTCATCTACTTTTTCCGCACTACTTTAAATGAGAGACTTTTTATTTGGTGCAATTTTAAGGAAATGTTTTTTAAATGTCCTGGGTCGTCGACAAGGTCAAGTGCTTGAGATGTGCGAAAAAATTGGTTTCTTTTTTATTGTTTTGCATAGGTAGGCATAATATTTTGATGTTTGCCCGGCGATAATTTTGCATATGTTCGATTCAGGACCTGGGGGTCAAGCTCTTAAGTGGGGCAGAACTGTGTGAGAAATGCAATTTACATTGACAGGGAAAGCGGAAAGTTCTTGGAACTGAACAAGAGTGTTATCTGATCGGGATATGATTTTGATTTAAATTAAAAAAGAACTTAAGATCTGTCAGCAATTGCTAAGCGATTAAAGAGAGAGCGTTTCCTAACTTGTGGAACTAAAGGAAATGCGATTAACTGATAATATGCCTCCTCTGTTTCTTGTTCTTTATTTTTTTAATGTAGTTAATCAGGAGGTAGTTTCTTATTTGATTTAATTGTCTTAGTCAATATTCTAAAATGGAGTATTCTCCAGAGAGGAGAATGGCATTCCTTTTGCTGTAAAATGCAATCGGAATTCATTATTTACTCAGTTCCTTTGACAACACACATAAAAACAGAGTCTGTTTTTAAGCATTGTGAGTCCATTTTGTGCATTTTATACACTGTTCGTAAGAGAGTGAAGAAGAGTATATTCGTTTTGTGCATTTTGCGTCTGTTAATTACTCTGTATCAATGCAATTTGAAGCTAAGGACTCACGATTTGAAACATGAACTCTTCTATATCTAATTTTTCTCATTTTCTTTTCGTGCAGTTCCCAGCTGTAACTAGACTGCATAGAGTATTGCTCAGTCCATTTTTACCCCTATTTTTTTTTTCAAACATTTTCGCAAGTATTTCTCATATGCATTTTAATAATTTTGCAACTGATGTCCAGCGCGTTGTGTCCCGTCCATGTCCCCTTTTTTGCATAACGCCGTTTTGTGCAACCCCCTCGTGTGCCTTTCGGTTGCCGCTTGGCAGCTTGCCACATTGCCATAAATAACAGGCAGGCGAGCCGAGCCGAGGTGAGGCAAGGATCGGGGCGCCCCCTTTATTTTGCATTTTGTATAAATTTTTGGCATGGAAATGGGAAATGTATGTAGGGAAAATGGAAGTGGAAAAACATGCAAATGGCGCGCTAAAACGCTGCACAAAAGCAAATGCTAGACGAAAACATTGTTTGGCCAAAGCGCCAGGCGCAGCATATACTCACACACACACACACACACACACACGAGCATAGACAAAAAGGATATGCAAGGATATGCTGCCGTTGCATGCATGCAATCAGTCACAAAAACGCCGGCTTTTGTTTGCGGCCTGAATAAAGTCCAAGGGATAGAAAATCATCAACAGAAACAGAAACAGGGGCAGCGTCAGCGGCAGCTCGGGCTTGGGGTCATCGAGAGGTCAGCAACGGGATTTTCGTGCCATTGTTGACAAGGGATGCAGCCACACACAATCGCACACACACGCACACTCAGAATTTTTGCCTGCATTTTGGACAATTTTCACAATGTTTTTTCACAATTTTTTTGCTGTTGAAATTTTGAATGTTGCATTTAATTTTTTTCCCAACTTTTTTTTTTTAATTTTTTATCTGTGTCCATGCAAAGGAGCAGTAGCAGGCTGAGGTTAAGGATGCTGTCTGCCAGGCACGCGACGTGTTGCATGGAGGCAAGCAGCAAGCAGAAGGCCGCGGCACGCGTTGCAGCCATTTTTTTGGTGGCCCGAATCGCCCTCAAATTTCGTTGTTTTTTATAGCCCTTCAGAGGGTATTTTAGCCTCGGAAACGGGCATAGGGCATATAACTTCTTGATCTGTAACTGTCTAATGGCTAGTCTCAGACTAATGCCTATTTTCAGAGTCGATCGAATCGAAACGTTGGGAGAGCTTGGGGTCTTTTATGAAAAAACTTATAATTGCAACACCTATAATTGCAAGGCTTAATTTAATTCTTAATCATTCGCCAAAGCTCATCAACATCGGACTATATAAATAATCGGACTAAAGTTTATTTTTTGTGCTTGGTCGATTATTAAACAAATCCATTATTCCTGCAGGGTATTAAGTCTTCGACTAACCGGCGCATAACAGTTCTTTATTGATTGTTATTTTTACTGTTCGCTTCTCTAATCGGATCTGCATATGTTGTGTAAATTGATATGCCACGTCCTGGTCTACAGGATCCTGCAGCTCGCATATGTGCGTTTAATTTCTCTGCTGTCAAACACGCGCCATTTTGGGCTTAACCCCAACGTGCGAGGGCTGCAGCTCAGCTTTTCGATAAACGGGGTGGGTGTATGCCAAAAAGGGGTGGCATATTATGCATACGCGCAAGGGTTGCTCTCGGTTTCTATCTCTCTATATACACTTATATATGTATGTGTGTAGTGCATATGGCAACGGTTCGTCATGCATATCAGACTGTGAGGGGTTTGTCCATTTAATCCTCCTGGCAGCCATTGGCAATTGTCAGCTCGCGTTTGTCCTGGCCATTGCCAGGATCAGGTCATGGCACATTAATTGCACTTTTATGCCGTAATTTTTATTGATTTCTGCCGTGTCGATTGCAGCTAATGCTTTCGTTTTGCATAATATATGGACAAATGACGTTGAGAGCCAGAAACAAATTAAATACAGAACTTCACTTTTTATAGTTTTTTCATAGAATGCACAAGTTTCCCCTATAGAAAGAACTCTCAGATTCCCAATTGCAGTTTATATATCTATTTCTACTAAATCTTACTTAAACTCATCTTTTGTTGAACAACTTTCGTTTTACTGTCAGTTAGTGTGTAGGAAAACCTCTAGAACTTCCGTTTCTACCCCATACATATAACGAACTCTGTCATATCAAACCCAACACATACCCAGATGGAACCTCTACAATGTTGCGTGTTTTGTTGACCGTTTGCATGATGCGACGCATTTCTTAACAATTGTCTTCTATATATTTATACCTCTATCCTTCTATCCTTACTCCCCACCTCTCTCATGTGCTGCAACAACTTTGTCAATGTCTCTGCTAGACA